TTCGACAATTTTCTTTTAATCGAGATAGAGAGAAAAAATTAGATTTTTTATTAAATGTTAATCTTTTAACTAATAATTGTCACAATTACAATTAATAATTTAAAATCAAATCATAATTTATAATAAATGCTTGTCCGTCATCTATTTCATACATTCTCAAGATGCAATTACCGAGATAGAGAGAGTATACAACATGAATCTTCTATAATGTATTTCTCGATTCTTATCTAACATTGCGCTCAGCGATCGAGCGTGAATAATTTTATAATAGAAAGAAAATTTACGGCGAGAAAGAGTCTATTATATACATATATCATAGAAATATGCTGTATGACCACATTTTAATCATATCACGCGAGAGTGCCGCTCACGCGGAAGTCATCATTATATCCTATATAAATAAGAAGAAGAGTATTTTAGAAAGATTTAAGTGCTTAGAACATGCGCGTATATTATCACTTTTCGCGCGGAGACTAATAAATCGTCAATGAATTTTAATGTCAAATCGCAGGACGATTGTCGACCTTCATGACGACGCCGAGATGTACGGTCGATATTTTAAATAATATAGACAAGAATCGTACCGTATTAGTATCGTAAAAATTACGATAGACGAAAATCGATCGCAAGTGAATCGTACGAAAACTATTACCTTCTTCTACTTAATTTACTCTCCTATTAGTTTCAGCCTTGATCTGCGTTTCGTGGGTATTATCCCAAGAGTTAATTATCGTTAACGAGTGAGTGACAATTATTCTCGCTTAATAATTCAACAATTTGTTCAATTATTTAGTCAAATTCGAGTGAGTCGTTATTCGCCACTCAAGACAAGTTGCATCGATTGGATTATCTAACTGTGGAGATGATGTGTTTCTGGTTTTTCTCTAGAGTCATATCTTCCAAGTAGTAACTTTGACAGGAAAGAATAATTATAGGATTATAAAAATTTTTTAAATATATGTGTAAAAGATTTCTAAAAAGGTATTTGAAAAATTAATGATAAAGTGTTGCCTGAGGAAGATATGAGTGCATCAGCTAGCCAGATTGGTACAACAGGCTACAATAGATTCTAATCTTTGACGTGACGCCACAATTGTGACGCTCATAGCCAAATGTAATCGTTCGTTGACCAATTTACACTTTTCTTCGACCAATCAAGTTATATTATGGAATACTTGCTTCGATATTACTTTCATTAAGCCTAGTCAATTTAATGCTGTTAAATGCACCGTCAGAAATCTATTTCACAAAACAACTTTCGGATAAATATCCTTTAAATTATTTATTATATTATTTATTTATTGTATTAATTTTTTATATAAACGTTTTAATATATGTATAAAGTAATTTGACGTTTGTAAATAATAATTACATAAAATAATATTAATTATAATAAAAAGTATTGATTTAATATTAAAATAAAAAATTTAATTCATTATTTAATTCTTGCAATTTTATTCATAATTACATAAAATAAATTAAAATAATTTTTTATTATTACCTTTGTAATAAATGCTTTACCTATACAGATAAAACAAGTCATCTACTCGATATGTTACAAAATAATCGGTAATTTAAATTTAATTTGATTATAACAAAAATTAAAAATTAGACATTTTTAAAAGCGCAAATCACAAAATAGAAAACTAAAAAATCGATTTGTGGAATAGATCAACCAAAGTAAATAATTTTTTTAGGCGAAACTGAGACGAGGTGTGAGGCAGGTTTTGAATGCGCTTTGTACAAAATCAAAATGTAAGATAAGTAACATACCATGTCTCTTTTCCCTCAGGCTCGCTTTACACCCATAATTGAAAATATCAGAATTATCGTATCACATTCATTGAATTATCACATTTTCGTCGTTCTATTATTTGATCAAAGCAAAATCGGCCATTTCCAACATTTGGATTCATGGACATTCGTCCATGCATTTGAATCTTCAATTAAATCGTTTTCCTTCACTTTATACCCTCTTTTTCCTTTATTAGCCTTTTATTTTTTTCTCTTTGATTAGCTGAATCTTTTATCGGCGACAGCTAGTAGATTTTTATACGTAAATACCTTATGAACAAATAATTTTTCAGAGAAGAATAGTAAAGAATTTTTTATAGTTAGTAGAAAAGATTTCTGAATTCGGAATATATAAAAAATACAATAATATCGCGATCTTGTCTTAAACAATAATCGATTTAGAGAAACTTGAAAAACAATTTTGTATAATTTTACCGAATATATAACAGAGAAAGGACCGCCCGACTGTAGTAAAATTATTGTTTTGACAATGTTTTTATCTAAAATAGTATTAGTAAAGAGAACAATAAAAATTGCGTGACTTATCACCTTCTATTTCCAATTAAAAATTGATGGCTCAAGTTCTCGAAACTTTTCGCTGAAATTTTCTTTCCTTCCCTTTAAGGAAAAAGTCCACTGAATTGAGATTACATTCAGATAACACAGTGTACCACAGAATCTAAACTTTTTTTGTTTATGTGAAGAAATATCTCGATGGGAAGATTATCATTGTAAAATGGCAGAAATAAATTTAATGTTAAGGATGCGTCGAAAGCGTCCATATATCCACATGATATTGCGAAAGCGAGTAAAACGGTTATTCGGAGAGTATATATAACTTATAATTAATTATAGGATCAATCCAATATAATGTGACCTGATTCTTCATAGCTGAATTTAATAATCTATAGAGTATCCGCGCATTACAAATTTTAATGCGGCAAAGTTACAGCAATCTGTCGTAAGGCGCTTGCCGCTCTCGAAGAAGATTGTTCGAATTACGTTTCGAATCAGAGCGCGATGGATTCCGCGAAACTCTGCATGAAACTCTTCTTACAATATGCAAGAATTGAACCTGCCCATGCAATTCTTATATAATGTAGGATAAATACAACGATTTACCGTGTGTGCAATGTGTGTGACTTTTCAGAAAGTAGAACATTGAATTTGATTGGACTTATTTGAAATATATTTATTTCATCTCAATTTATATTAAAAGATGTAAAATCTGCGAAAATAAAGAAAATACGTTATATTTAAAAAATATAACTTGTTGGTAGCATTTGTATTAATTAATCTGTAATAACTTGATTATTTTTTATTAGTAGAACAAATTGTTCATTTTTTCTCGTAGCAAAATTTCATGAAAGTTATTAATGGTAAAAAAAAGAATTATTAATGTTCACGTTCAGCTTTTCTCGTTCAATGTATATTAACATCCATATCCGTCAATAGTTAACAATTTTTTTTCATTGTTAGAGCTCGATATTTTAATAACTTTATAATAATTTTACTTATGTTTTACATTCGTAATAAGTACAAGTTCTTTTCTTAATATTTATAAAATCGCTTGTACAGTACTCGTGCCTTTATTACGCGAAGGTACACATTAAACGGCTGTAAGTTTTCTAAAAGGTTTCATATACAATTATATTTTCACAAAATATAATTTAATATTGATAATTTTAATATATCTCTCACAGTTACACGATTTAGTTCAAATTTTCTGCTAAATTTAATGCAAAATTTAGATCGATTATCTGAATTCTATTCACTTAACATTCATATTTCCTTTAACCAATATGAAGTAAGAATTAAATGGTTATTCAGCAGTCAATCAGATAGTTTAATAGTAAATATATAATAAAAATGCGGACCATTATTCTTTTTCACCAAAATTTTTGCATGATTGTAACGACGTACGTTTAATTTTAATGAATACTTCCTTATTAATATTTATATCAGATATTTTATGTAACGTGTTTCCCCGTCTTTAAAAATATGCTTAAAATTAATTATATTATTTACAAAACGGAATTTATATATGTTTTGTTTTCAAGAAGTGACTAAATTTACATAGTTTTAAATAATATTCACTCCCTCAGGTATTTTAATTACAATTATTTTGCTATATACCACTTTCCTGATTAGAAGTAGCCGTATTTGAAAGCGTGAATTTGTTTTCCAATTTGAAGAGAGGCGCATGTATTTTCTTGCGGATGCACCAGATATCACACAAGTTCCTTCGAAAGTTTAAGCAAGAGCTTGGTGCACCTCGAATGAGCTCTCTTCGAATGGCATGAGTCTTATAGAAGTGTCCAGCTGGTTCTTATGATAAGATTTACGTAATTAAGCATTCCTCGACCACAAATACAAATGTAAACGGCTGTACGTAATGTAAAATAATAAAAACAGAAAATAGAGAGAGAGAGAAAGAGAGAGAATGTATCTATATAGATAAAAAGAAGATACATATATACATATATACATATGTATATATTATATATGCGACGTTGTAACGCGATGCGTGCGATATGCATGTAAATTTATTATAAATAAATTATTATAAAGCAGTAAAAAGAGCGTTTCTCCATAATATCTGTTACAATATCTGTTAATAATATTTGTTATTAAGAAAATTTCTTATTCTATATCTTTCTATCTTACTATCCCGATTATTATGTTATATTAATCATACATATTTGTAGAGGTATGCTAGAAATGTTAATATTATTGTGCAGAAATTTATTTAATTACGTATTAAAAAAATTAATAACCATATGAGAAAACGCGACGAACATTCGAAATAATGGCTCTTGTGACTTTAAAAAAATTTTGTTAATTTTAATAATGAAATATATATAATAACTGAATTTTTTATAATTAAATATTCTTATTCTATAATAATTCTTATTTTTTAAATTATAAGTAAAAGTAACATTGTAGTAAATAAAATTATTTGATTTTTTTCTTCTCTGCACTTTCATTCCTACAAAATATTACTTTCCTTTCGTTCTTTTATAAAATAAGGTTAGAGATTAAAATTGTATCATAATAATTCATATTTATGTCAAGCTCTCAAGATAACAATTTGAATTCTTGATAAGTTGACCGATGTCTTATTTAAAAAAACAATTGTTTATTACTACTCGCTGAAGGCAGAGGATACTGAAAATAATAAAGCTAGAAAATTATAAATATGTGTATGTGGAATGTTTATTATAGGTATTTATGCACAAGTATCCTATATACATTACATATATATATTATGCGTAACATCGTTCATCTGCACAATACATAAATACAAGGTTTAAATACATTATCGACAGAAATGAGTCCAGCTAACAGACACTTTTTATAGGCTTCAGTACATTTTCAGTGAACTGTCCTACTATATTACCTCTTGGATGGTAACATGCCACTACAACACATGAACCATCTCGTTTGGCCATTGCAATACCCATTTCAGTCGTATTTTTCCAGACAATTTGCGTAAAATGGCCTGCAAACAAGAAATAAAAATATTGTGAGGGTTTTTTATTTATAATTTTGTCACAATCTTTTTGAAAAAAATTTTTTAATAATTACTTTCTAATAATTTTTAATAATTATGTTATTAAAAATTTTTAAATAAGTTAAATACGTAATTTAAAAAATATTATAAATTTTATTATAGCAAAATAAGTATGAAATTAAATTAATTAATTAATTTCTTAGGACTAAATCTTTAATCTGTATGCATACAATTGCATACACTATATCTTAGGCATTTTTATATATTCTATTAATTTTCCCATTGGTTAAATTTGATGTGATATTAAAGTATATGGAAATATTGCGATACATACATGTGTTAAGAACTTTTGGCTCGATACCAAATTTATGTTCTTTCTTCTCGGAATACCACTTTGAAATGACTTCACGTGCGGAAACGATCAGTTTAGGATCAGAACACTGCATTGAATAAATATTTTCGCCATACGGAGATGACGATTGAGGTACAAGTTTATTTGTGTTTAGCAACGTGTTTGCCCAGGCCTAAGGATGAATAAATATATGTATATAATGCAGCTGATTTTTATGACATTTTTTACACAATTCTTAATCAGTTAAAAATATATTTAATAATTAATATACACATATAAATACGTTCCAACGATAATAGTGTATATTCTGAAATACCTTGGCAGCTGCTGTTAATTCCGGACTTAATCTTAAATCCGGTACACGATGCTTTCTTCGATATTCATTGTGAACCAGTAAGGCCTCTTGCTGCCACATTTGCTCGTCTATATAATGTTGTTTTAGGTCGGTAAAATTAATTCGTTTCGTAGGACCTGCGTCCACGGGTGGAAGGACATTCTCCGTGAAACTGCCTAAGAAATTCCCAGCAGGATTGTAATTACACACAACATAGACTTCACCATTTCGATTTCTAGCCATTCCCACCCCTAACTCAGTACTGTCCCTCCAGATCACTTGTGTGAAGTGACCAGTCTTCAATGTTGTAGGCTCTTTTCCATATTGATGCTGAGTTTCTTCAGCATACCTACAAAAGGTAAAAGTTTCAATATGCTATATTTAAATATAAATGTAATTACCTTATTAAATAATAAAAAATTATCTATAATACAGATTTTTGTTACCGATGTTTTTATACAGATTTGTGTTAAACATATTCGTAAAAATTTTTAATTATTTTAATTTTGATTACAAATAATTACCTACATTAGACTATTTAATAGGAAAATACAATTAAATGTTTAAAATAATAATTTGAAAGTCAACAGATCACTATCTTCTTTTAATTTATGTTTAAAGTTAATTCAAATATATATATATTGATAAAAAAAGAGAACAATAATTATTTTATTTCATCATTATGTTAATTATGACTTCATAATTAACATAACAATTTCAATGTAATATAATGTAGTAACTGTGTTATAACATATAATGTATGCATTAACAATAAATATATGCAATAATCTCACCATTCATTCACCGGCTCTTCGCCACCAACAACTGTCTTTGGATTGGAGCTCCACATACAATAGAGATTCTCTCCGTAGTCAATATTCGCTCTATGTTCTAATCTACCTTTAGCGGCCAATATATTAGCCCAGTCTTGACTTGTCTTGCACAGCTGAAAATAAACATATACCGTTATTTATCGATTCTAGTTAAAGTTGTTAGCAGAGATCTCTCCATGTTTCGGAGAATATGGCAAGTATAAAAAATCAAATATCTTTGATTCTCGGAAGTTGTTCAATGAGGGTTACGATTTTATTACAATTTTATTGCAAAAGAAAGATTGACAGTAACCTGCTTGCTTAGTCGTAACGGCGGTACTCCATGCCGCGATCGGTAGAAATTATGCGTGTCGAGGCAGACGTTAATAAATTCCTTCGGAGGTCCCGATCTGCGTACAGACGGTTTACGTGTGTCAATCTTTGTTATCTATAACATATAGAGACAGAATCGTATGACGGATTGAGATCAAACAGTAAATCCATAATCTGTTAGTAAAATCTATACGAGTATATTTACAAAGATTCTCATTAAGCATTTAATTACATTTCATTATAATAGAGAACACTTAATGTATTTTTCGAACATCACATTGAAGTTTTAGATTTTAAAAAATTTGTTTATATCACTGACTAAAAATCTACACATTGTGTAAATGTCATATTCATTGATTTTAAAATTATAAAATTTTACCGATATATCCCAATAGCATTATTATGTATCTTTCACAAGATTTTAAAGGTTTAAAAAAAAACAGAAAAAATACAAACGCTATCGTTATTTAATTGCGAATTAGGAACAATGCCAACGATATATAGTAAGCAATATAATGATATAAATAGTAAAAGCTTGACAGTGTCCTTAATAACTTAAACGCAGAACCATTTATAGGAAGAAACTAACTGGCAGAAATGATTTCCCATCGTCCTATAGGAATACGATCATCTGCTACACGATTAGAATATCCATAGATAAGCTTCTATTCGTGCTTCCGTTTGCGAACGCTCGTTAAATTTCTCTTACTTGCTGAGAAAATTACCGCGTGTAATAAATTACTAAAATATAAATAATGAAGAAATAACACGCTTTTTAGAATGTCACTTCAATAACTGAATTAGAGATCGTAATCTAAAACGAAACAGCGATAATTATCGTGCGACTCGAACTGACGATAGGTTCAGAGCTTTCCGACAATCATCTGTTTAATTGCTTTAAAGGTCTGTTCTTTTTAGCTAAATTTCTTGTACAGTTCATTTTTCTCTTTTTCTTTTCACGTAAGAGAGAAAAAGAAAAAAGATACAAGAAGGTCAACTGAAAAGAACAGATCGATGTTTATAATTTGCAAAATGTAGGCGGTGACTTAAATTGAAGGTCAAAAAAGTTAACATTGGATCATTAAATAATGTTTTCAATAATAATCTTCAAAATACTGTTAATTAAAAAAGTTAATTAAATATTTATTAACAGGGTATTTGTGAAAGAAAAGAGGAAAAATTTTGCTACCGCTAGATTAAACAAAATTCAAGTAATAAGTTGTTTCAATTACCAGTTATCAGTGCCAGATAGTCGGCTAAAAACTTAGCGGTTATTGAGTTCGCTGTTTGATGAATATACATGAGTTCGCGCTACAAATCGCTTAACCGTTTTGTAAGCAAGGCCATTAGCATGAGTGCAAAAACATCACGTGCGTATGAAGAACAAGTCCGGCGAATGAGAACGCAACGCCACGCGCGCGGAAAATGGAGCGGAAAAATCGATTCCGCGAGCGCACGAAGCGATTTAAACTTCTGACAGATTAGTCATCGCATTAGCCGGATGATCATCCCAATGATCCACCAATCATCCAAAAGGTGCAAACCAGTGACTCTCGAAAAAGGAGCGATCCTGAGTCATCGCGAAGTGGCAATGTACCTTTCCGCGAAGCAACTCTTACAATGTTTAGGCTCCTTTCACACTGCACGCAATGTCACGTGCAGTGAAGATAATCGTCAGAGTTACGCTTTCCAACCGGCTAATTTACCAAGTAGGTTGAAACCAAAGGACTCCTAACATGAAGAAATTGCGGTAGATCGAATGGTGAAAAATTAGCTAGCGAAGAATAGTCATCAGTTAAAATCAATTAACATTTTTATTTCTATTTAAATATATCTTTGTATTTAAAGTATGTAAATATGTTAATTCTCTTATAGAATTATCCAGTACATACATTGCTGGTTCATAATTATATCGAAAAATACCGATAGCTAAACTGAGACAATTATTTGATACACAAACAGCTTCTTAATGTAACGCGGTTTATTTTCACAAGAAACTTATGATGCAAATGTAACTTTACAAAGTATAACACTTTTATAAATGCATTTAGATATAATTTATCACGTAGTACAAGTAGCACAAACTAATTACTTATTACGTTACATTGCAATATTGTTAGGATGATCAGCAATTTACATAATACTATCTGTTTTCTTCATTTGTAAGCGCAATATAAGCGATCGCGCATTTATGTAAAGATATATAACTGAGAAAATTTTCATTGTCTTACTGTTTAAACTTTCTATAAACATTATTGCTTTTTAGTCTTTCAGACCTGAACTTTTCGGATTTTTCGTTTTCTTACAAATGTTTGGTTGACAACCTTGGAAGTTTAGGTAATAAAAATTTGAAATAAGAAAAAAAGAATTATTACGACTTCAGAATTTTAAAGTCATGGAATTTTGTATTCTTCATTCCTTGAAATTATTAGATTTTAAAGCTCTATATTTTTCAAGCGTTTATCTCGAGTTCTTATAATTTTAGATTTTCAAATTTATATTTTTGGTGAAATATCAATAAGCAGTTACGATAAATGTCGATACCTGTGAGGACGAATATCTCGCAGAATCGGGAGATGCTGAAGAGGACCTAGCACTGCTACAAGACATGCCATCACTTCCTAGACTGCCATGGAAACTACCATGCAAGGAATTCGACAAAGGACCCGGCGATGCTGGCGACGCTGTCAACGGAGACTTCGATCTTACTGAATCTGTCCTCGACCTGAAAGTAGACCGATTACATGGTGTACGAAGAAATACAAAGCGTTCCTTTTTGCTCCAGACAGCACAGTGACGTATGAATACTTAACGCTTTAAATAAGCAGATCGAATTTATTGAATTTTTTGCACTAGAAGCGACTTTATATGAGCGAATGTAGATCAAGTTTTGTTCGAATTGGATATGCTTTAAGAATGCCTTACAATTTACAATTAGTTATTTAATGCTCTGTAGACGTTATAAAAATTATTAAAATTGTTAATTCTGTTAATAGTTATCGATAAATAATTAGTTTTATAGAAATAAAATTTTTAATATATAAACTATAGACTATAGTTACATACATACATATGTACATACATTTGTAACTACGTAGATTAATATTATCAAATAAGTATACAATGGTGTCTATTACCAAATAAATTAAGTGATTGTGTTTATTTGATAATATTAAAGCAAATATTAATTAAGAAACGAAAGATCATAAAACCACAGCACAAGTTGTTTTATGTGATATTTAATCTATTCAATATTTCAAAATTAGACGTTTCGGTCATCTTCAGATAATGGCCGAAACGTCTAATTTTAAAATATTGAATAGATTAAATCTCACATAAAACAACTTGTGCTGTGGTTTCATGTTCTTTCGTTTCTTAATTTCTATTATTAACCACTTGCTTGTTGATTATATTAAAACAAATATTATTACTATATAATAAAATATTTATAAAATTAATTAAAAATGTAATAAGGAAAGTTGTTTAAAGAAATAAGAACTCTAAATACATTTAAAAAAATTATTATAACTTTATTAATTTAATAAGAAAGAAACATAAATTATTATAATCATAAAGTATTATCAAAAAATTGCTTTTGAAAGAAATTTTCATTACAGTGATGGTATTTAAGAAATAATGAAATTTAGGAACGTAATAGTAATTTATATTTGTTAATTATATATATATATATATATATACACATATATACACATATATATGTAAAATGTAGCTTCATGGCTTCATGTAGTTTCATCAAAACGTGTCAAAAGAATTGCGTAAATGGTACAAATATTTAATGACAGAAGTACAATAAATCGTAATCCAAAGTCAGCATTATCTTAAACCGTAGTAATTCAGAATTTTTATCATATCGTTAAAATTCATTTAAGAAACGCCATTGTTTCTTTAATAATTCTCAAAGATGCAAATTATAAAATAAAAATTATATAATATTATTTTAAGACGGCATAATCTAATATCATAATCAATATTCCTTTTTCAGATCGGCATAAATTTGCTTTAACTATATGAAATGTTATTGATATTTATAAGGTATAATAAAATTTCAAATACTGTTCTTTACGTATCTTGATGGAATGAGAGCAAGCAAAAAAGCCAATGAAGTTACGATGTGTCATGATCTTGATTGTAGAGATCACATAGACGATCATTATGGCATGTGCAATGAATCGAAGCGATCGAACATGAGAGTATTTAATAGCATACTGTGTAATTACAACGGTGTATCTTTAATCTAGTTCTCTAAAATGTTTCATGATAGGCTGAATACTGTTTATCCCAGTAAACAATTCACGACGTAGATATTCATTATACGCTTATAATGCAAACCCATGATCGTTTCATGCAAAATTGCATATTGACTAATGAATAGCAATTTTGCCGGACTGTGCAGTTAACTTCGCATTAGAATACAAACAGATTCAACTCATTTACCGATAAAAACGATTGTTGTAAATTATGTTGCATAATTTTGTCATGATTTACTAGAAATCTGTAGATAAACATCGAATTAAAAATACATTTTGAAGATACATTTTGAGAAGCTCGACGAATTGACAAATCTGTTCATTTATTATTATGTTTATATAAAGTAGACATGTTCTGAGCAGGAAGTTCTGAGAATATTTAATGTGCATTTAACGAGTTTCAAGTAATTCGCGATCTGACATCTGTTTATTGATGAACGAACACACCAACAGCGCATCAAACGGCGAACATATTTAGAACAGGAACTGCGTAAATTATAAACCTAAAAAGGTTTTAGGAAAGTCTCGCAAAAAAATTTAATTAGATATAAATTTTAATTGAATAGTTTTATAAAACATCTAAATGTAAAAAAACCATTTCAATTGAAGCAATCAAACAATAAACTTTTATAAAAGTTCGGACGATTTCAGTATTCAGCCGAAAGATGTTACATCACAGAAAGCCAAGGGAGAGCTGAAAATTCCAGGGTCCTTACTGGATCTCATTTAAGATTACGTGAAACAACGACTTCATCACGCTAATCTACGTACATATATGTCATCATATATGCCTTTACGAATACGGTTCATACTTCCTCCTTCCTACGAGTTTCTGCAACGTCCACGGCCATGGTCGCCGTAAAAGAAAGGTTGTTAGTTTCCTTTGTTACGTCGCGCCCAGAGGAAGAAGACTGATTGTAACTCTCCAAGATGCTATAAGGGTCCGATCACAATAAAATACAACATATCTTATAATAAAATATAAATAATATTTTTTAAAGTTTTGAGTTAATTTATATTTAATTAAAGTCTTGTTTTTTTGATTAAACAATACTTTATAAATAATTTTCGAAATAAAAATTAGCAAGAAAATTGAATTAGAATAAGATTTTGTTGTACAGTCACAAAACTAATTAGCCAAATAGTGCACCATTATATCAATAATTTTCCCTTTGAACAATCGCCTGAATTAAAAATTGCTTTATGCACACATTATGGCACTAATTAATAATTATATTTGGACAATTAATTATGAAATTACTATTGTCATAACGTGTGCGTGGAATCACAATTTTTAATATTCGGACAACTGTTTTAAAAAAAATCATCAGTAACAATATAATGACACAATTATGAATGATTGTTTATACAATTACTTTCATGACTGTATATTTATGCTCTTAAAATATAATTCACAAGAATTTTAAATATTCAATCCTGTGTAATAAAATTTATTATTTTGCACTAAAATTATTATCTATTTGTCTTTTCAAAAAAATTAAGAAAGATCTATTCTAAATTATCAAGATTCCAAAATAAAATGAAATCTAAAAAATTTAAAACATGCCGTATTTTATTGCATACCTTATTTTTATACCTTATAGCATATTGTGCCTTACTCATTCAAACGAGTTACATTGAAAGTTTTTCTTGACCACGCCACTTGCGTGGGCGGAATCGCATATACGGTCGAGCAACGATTCTTCTTCGATAAGGATTTAATACCGACAATACAAACCTCGCGGCGATTAATCTTTTGCTTAAACGATCCAAGTACATTTTTCTGGTGAACTTGACAGCATACAAACGGCATTGTATAACTGTAATCATATTTAAACAAAACTATCGAAAATCATTCATAAATTTTAAAATAAGCTTATCTTTTTGTTAAATTGTACTATTACATATTAAAAGCATATTTTAATTGTAAATTGAAGACACATTTTCAATTTGCTTTATGATGAAGAAGTATTTACTTTGGATAATTGTTAATAAGTTATCAAATATTATACCAAATTTACAATAAAATAGTATCGTTTTGAGAACTATTAATGAAGAAAAGAAGTATCGATGATAATAATAATTTAAAGAGAAACGCGTAAATACTTTACAGCCTCCAAGAAAATCTCATACTTTCAATTTAACTCAACGGTATAAATCTCATTCCTGGCTAGTGAATGTTATCGTCCTGTTACGCTATCGTGAAAGCCGGTAATTTTCAGTATTCTTACAGAATTGCCATCTTCTTGCGACTTGTTTGAATGTAAGCACGCAAACTTTCAGCTGTCGCTCTGCTTTCTACGTGCCACCTACGCTAAGTGAACTAGGACTACTTACCGATCCTAGTGAAGTTTCAAAAAACACCTAAGTGATAATATTGACAAAGTGCTATAGATGCCGTTTGCGGCAAGTCTTTAATAAGCTTACTTTTGCTTCACTGGAATCGGAATTTGATTAAACTGCAAGTTTGTGCCGCATAGGCAATTATACCTGTCGGGCGACACTTGATCGACAAAACCGACCACCTTCTTTTTCGTTCCGTGCACGTTGAGCGATGGCATACTACAAGAGCAACGACTTACACTAGAGAAATGTTAAATTGTATTCACTTCTTATAAATAATGTTAAAAATAAGATAAAAAATTGACGAGATAAAATTTTATAAACTCTTCAATACTCAACAAATTATAAAGAGCGATGAAGTTAAAAAGTTAAAAAGTACAAGGATTATAACATAATGTTAGATAAATTTTATCTAACAAATATATATTATATTGCTGATACGTTTCTTATAAAATTGGCTTCTTATTCTGACTATTCTTATCGAATCATAAATCTCAGCAACGTTGGAAACAAAAAAAATATAAGCATTTTTAAATTAAAGAAATTTAATAAATTCAAGCAACCAATAGAAACTTTTTTCTCTCATTTAACTTCATATAGCTATTTTATTAAAATCTATTTTTAGATATAATTAATGTTAATAAATAATTATATACAAAAATAACGTAATGTTAAAAAGTGAAGACAATAAGACTACTTTTTAATTCAATTCTTATTAAAGAAAATGTTGATGTCAAATTGATCAAAGAATTAATTAGATAACAGTAATAGAGATTCTTCTATAATATTTTGTGCATAAAAATTTTATTTTTAAAAGCATAGATGTTTCCAGAAGAAAGAGAATGACATATCACAATTACGTAATATTCCACATTCTATTGAAAACCACAGTTGCTTCGATTCACAACATTACTCGCGAGAGAGTGCTGAAAGAAATTAATTGCTCTGCAAGAATGTACAAAACCTGCTAAATGTCGTACGATATTTTATAGATTCTTCACACGTATGCTTTAAAATTAACCGAAACGAAAGAACAAGTATCGCTCTTCCGCTTTTAGCATACAAGATAATTGAAAATCTGCGGTCTGCGGTTTCTCTCAGAAAATATCTTTCCATTAGATACAAAGGTATAGTCACACACGAGTTTACTGTTCTATATTAGTTTTGAATATTTTTTAAATTCGAAAGAAGCTACCATTCATCATACGTTTAAGTTTTAATAATAGAATTTTTACCTATTGGCGGCAATAAAATTTCTAGAGATAAAGGCAGCAAACTTGGAACACCCTGTACATGTATATATCAACTAAGAGAAAGGTACTGAAACGCGAGACAGCTGATTTTACGACAGGTAAAGTTTTGTCTACTGCAAACCAAGGTGTAACAAGGTTCCGGTATACGTTCGTGCAAGAAGGAAATACTCTTCCATCACGTACGACAAAGAAACATTTTGCTAACACATGAATAATAGTACAGTGAACTATAACATCAATTTGTTATAAACACTATGACATGCATCTATTTCAATAGTTTTCAAAATTGTCTATTTCTTTTTAATAAAATCTGAATATAACAAAAAAAGGAATCGTATAACAATAAAAACAATATAACTGTTATTAAGGAACTATTTAGCATTTAAATCGCTACTTGCTGTGTGTGACCTACGTACTTTCTAATTTAATTATAATAAAATACATTTTAACTTTACTTATTTTAACTTTACGTATTTCAATTGTTGTTTATTTTATCATTAAACTGTATAACAACAATCTAGAAAAATAATGTCAAAATCTTATTTTTGTTTCAAATATATATGTATTATTTCAAATATGTATATCAGTTCTTCGTAAACCTTCATTAACATTTAACAGCAAGTAAAAATATTAAACAATATACAAATGCATAAGAATAAATCAATATTCTTTAAAAATTAAGAATAGTATTTGTATTTCATATAAGAATAATATTTCGAGAATATTAAAGATTAAATGAAATATACAATATTTCAAAATCTCTCGAATAAAGCATCAAACGATACATTATTACGATCTGATTTAAAGGCATCTCGTTAATTTATATCATCTGTTAATATAATATCCATAAATAATTAATTCAATCGAAGAAATGTATTATTTTAATTAATTAAGTTTAATACATCTATTACTAATATTTAACGCTAATAATAATTGAAAAATTGTCAAACCTGCTAGACTTTGGTGTAACGATATCCCTTGTTTCGGAGGTATACTTCCTTTCGGCTCGACCGCCGTTAAAGAGTTCGACAGTTTCCCTGGTAACAGTTTCCAGAAGTGGTTCACCACCTCGTCTTCCTTTACTAAATGTCCTTTGATCCGTTTTACGGACCATGACCACCCTCGACAAGGGTTGATTGAACTCATGCCCGTGCATGGTTGGAGGGATCATAGCCAGCGATTGCGAAAGAGGACCTCCGATTCGCGGAGACCTGTAACATAAACAATTATAATAATTAATAATGCATGCAATACACTTCAAAATAACAGCAATTTAAATATTACTAATATTAAATATTAATGATATAAATATCTTCGTACAGTTATAATTTTTATGAATTAAAATCGTTTCAAAAGAAAAACATCTCCACTGAAATATTACATGTGTTACTACCTGTGTTTTAATTATTGCGTCTATTTTGTTATAATTATTATATATAATTAATCCTTCTTCCATATCTTTGATATCAGTATAATATCAGAAATATTAATTATATATATAATATCAGAATTATGCAATATTATTAATTATATGCATATGAAAATGCATAAACTTATTGTGTTCATAACAACGAATTACGATGTATACAAAATATTATGAAATTGCGATATTTAAATTAAAACATGTATGCACATTTATATAAGATCCATAAATATATATATTTTATTATTTCTGTTTCTTCGTCACTGTTATTTGATATGAATATTATAATACTTTGTTTATTTCAGTATATAGTCGCATATCGTATACTTTTTCAAAATACACGAAATCCAGTATTAGCTGCAAAACAAAATACATTAAATAACTTGCTAAGCAAATAAGAACCGATAAATCGTCACTATCCCGTTTCCTCTTCATGATCAACGATCACATGTTGCAAACCTGTTCTTAGCGATACACGTAATTAACGTCAATTGCTGGTGACTTTAATTATTAATAGTCTTCTCTTCGAACACTTCTGAACTTTCTTATGCATATAAATCAGTATCTTGTTTTCTCCGCTCTCATTGATGCATATCACAAATAAATAACATTTTCTAGCCGGAAGTGATAATAGAAAAATTATTTAATCGAAAAACTAAATCATCTACAAAAACCATAGTGACACTATCATTGTTTCAAGTGAACCCTTTTTAATTGTCATATAAATATATATATTTTATTATTTCTGTTTCTTCGTCACTGTTATTTGATATGAATATTATAATACTTTGTTTATTTCAGTATATAGTCGCATATCGTATACTTTTTCAAAATACACGAAATCCAGTATTAGCTGCAAAACAAAATACATTAAATAACTTGCTAAGCAAATAAGAACCGATAAATCGTCACTATCCCGTTTCCTCTTCATGATCAACGATCACATGTTGCAAACCTGTTCTTAGCGATACACGTAATTAACGTCAATTGCTGGTGACTTTAATTATTAATAGTCTTCTCTTCGAACACTTCTGAACTTTCTTATGCATATAAATCAGTATCTTGTTTTCTCCGCTCTCATTGATGCATATCACAAATAAATAACATTTTCTAGCCGGAAGTGATAATAGAAAAATTATTTAATCGAAAAACTAAATCATCTACAAAAACCATAGTGACACTATCATTGTTTCAAGTGATGACATTTACATTTCTCTGTTTTATATAAAAGTTATTACATAACATAAGATTCGTTGTTTTCTACAAAAATTTTTCTATGTAAAAATTTTGATCAGATGTAATTTAATTTAAAGATATAATTTAGAAATATTAAAAATTGAAGTAATTTTAGTGAACTAAATTTATAAAATTTATTCCAATTTGATAATCCACTTAACTTATTGTTACATTAAACTTCAAAACTCTCTCCTTATTAAATGTGGTGTTGAAAATTTAATAATTATGACAAAAAATAATATTTAATAAAAATTTTGTTTGATATTTCATAAAAATTACGAAAAAACATTTTTTAAAAACATAATATTTTTCGAAATATCTTACGAACAATTTTCTCTATTCCACAGTTAATGCAGTGTAACGTAATGCCATTGTCGCATTTAAAATGTTAAAGGATTTTGCAAGATATTGCTTGGTCGAAATTAATACTGGTTGTAACTAGAACGGAATAACTAGAACGAAATTCCCTTTCGACGTAAATCGTCATTTGCGTGCAAAACTCCGAATTAATCGGACGATTAAACTGCAGTATGCACGCTAGGAGTAAGTACAACGCCTAAGGAAGATCTTCCTCATTGTCTAAAGTATCCCCTTGTTAACCCATCTTAACCTCTCGTAACATCGCGAATGAATTTTTCTTATAAAAGATAATAGAATAGTTATTTTAATAATAACGCTATATGTGTATGTTTCATTTTCTCCTTTTCCAAATAAATATATAAATGTTCTTAAATACGTATTATCTCGATACACTTTTATTATCCCTGTTCACTTCGTATAAAATGTATATTTTTTTTCAAATGCAATTCTGAAAAAATGATCTGAAAAAATGTATATTTTTCAAAATTAAGAAAAAATTAAGTAGTAACGCTTGAAACGTTATTTCGATGAAGCTTGTGTTCCTCTGCAATTATTTTCTGTCGGGCGAAATTCGCTTTCAAGCAGCATTACTCAAAATTAACGAAGGAAGAAAATACTTCAAAGTAAAAGGAATTATTTGCATAATTTAATGAGAATTCGCGAAATTCGATAGAGAAGTTGGAAAACGTTACGCGAGAGGCGAAAGTGTAGTCGACGATACAATTATGCCGCTAAAAAAACTATGTATGCACTTTATTATTACAGATCATCGCGATGAAATTTGAAAATGTATCCTAAAATGAAAAGGAATAATTTTTCTCTTTACTGCTACCTATATATTTGATACTACTAACAGATACAACTAATAATCTGCTGTTTACATTATTGCTTCTTTATAAAAAAGGTATATCTTTAAATCTTTTAATGAATTAGTTTATTTTCAATTGAAATAAAGAAGTAAGATCATATATAACATTAATTCCCCTGAAGCTAAAGAAAATTTGTTTGAAAGACAAATTCAAGCAACCATTTCTCTATAAAATCGCTCTATCTCTCTAATTAAAGAATATAAAATATCGGTATTTTAACGATAGAATATTATTTCAAATCAATTTATACTCGAAATCTGTTTACAAAATACGATATTCGAATTCATGGACCATGGTTAAGTTTTTTGTTACGAAGAAAGTCCATGACTTCCGATGAATAAACAGGTCGGTGAATTACGTTAATAAAGGCCCGGCGCGCACAATTAGACTTCTTGTTCGATGCACTTTCACGGCGATCACTCGCGCGGTCAATTCGGAGCGAAGCACTTTTCGCAGTTGCGAATCCGCGCACAAATTCATGACTGACCGCTGTAGCAAGATTTCTCAAAAAAACTGATGTTCACGATTATATAAATTACTCCTTATAAATCCTTCATTAGTCCGTTCCGAGAAATAAAATAATACATAACGTTTCTTAAAAAATTATAATAAATACAACGTTTACTGTTTTACGTGGCTATCCCCTTAATATCCTTATTATGCAAATTGAGAAAAATATTACAGAATTATCTTACTTCAATTTTCTAAAGGAGAAGAGGGAAAAAAAGACTATGATAACGATGTAAATCACTCGACTTACGATGTAAATAGCTCAACTCACAGAAATGTCGTTTTTAGTAAAATCTCATCCGGTAAGACACCATAGTATTTTCCCGCGGCGTCGGGGCTTCAACTATACACTCATGGTACAAGCCGTACGACAGAACGAACAAAACTGGCACGTCGACCACGACAGCGAAACAGAGAGAGACGGTTCCTCTCCCGGAGAGGAAAGGTGGCCAATTAGCCGTTACTCGGCGCACATGCCTCGACCAACTATCCGACGCAGCTGCGGCGATACACTGTATCGCGTCGCTGCACCGCGCTGCACTGCTCGCGCGCTTCGAGGGAATCGCGTTCATAAACGCGCACGATTCTCCCGCGGGTCTCCCTCAACGAGCTACGAGCTACAAACTACCGTTTATTTGGCTATTTTTGAAGAAAGTTATCGATAGTAATATGCAAACAATTTTTGTTTGATAGGAAAAAAAATATATTTTATTACTTAATAATCACTTTTATTAATTGTTACGAAAAAAATGCAAAATATTGTTTCCAAAAATACTTTTGTAAAGTTTAAAAAGGAAACGTTTGACTGAACTCATTCTTTGATATAGTGAAAACGTTACGTAATTCAATTCGCAAAAAAGGACATTACAAAGAAAATTTATTTTCACAATTTATGGTCCGTAAAATATAGAACGCGATTTAGTTATATCTGATGCAGATGTATGACAAAGAAGAAAGGCGAAACAGGAGTAAAAAATGGCTTCGTGTACGATGCGTGTAAGTTTCTTCCGCTTTCGCGACAAAGCGTGCTACTGTGCACCTCGCAGAAAGCAGCAACATAATAATTCGAGAACGAAGACGTACGGCCAAGCGTGTACCGCTATTCCGGCTGACCGGAATCACTGCTCTGGAACAACACGGTATCGTCTTCTTGCTCGATTCGAGAGTAGAAGCGCATCGATCTCGAGCATGTAATATTGTCGAATAATACAGTAATGTAAAATTTATGATTTCGTAATTACTGCTACATAAATATTTAAATATTACTAAACAACTCCAATTTATAAAAAATCATCATCCCATATTTATTACTTATCTAATCAGATTTAACTTGAGTCTAAATAAATTTTGTTTAGTTTTAAGTAATTGTATAAACAAAAGAAAAAAATTCTTATGTTATAAAGTGATATGTAATTACTATACATAGTATACTCATTTATCTAATCCCAAAATTCGTCAAAATCCGTCCCGAAAAAAATATACAAATAACATTCATGTACAAAATTAATAGAAATTTTAATGTTAAAATAATTTCAACATCGGACATAGCATCTGCATTACAATTTCTTCAACTTTCTATTGTTACGATTTCTAATTTATGCGATATTACATTATATTAGATTATATAAAAAAATTTAAATATTAATTGTGAAGTTGAAAAGTTTTAGTATTAAAATAACTTAAATGCTTTTATAACACAATTTATATATATAACTGACTCTACTACATAATAACAACAATGATTATATTAGAATTCTCAAATTTTAAACAATATAAAAATATAAATAAAGTAGACTAATGAGAGTCAGCAACG